CAATAGTAAAAGAATTAATGAATGACTAATCTAACCTCCACTATAAATTTATTCATTATAATTATTTATCCTTTTATTTTATTCTTATTTTGTTTCTTAAAACTAAATAATAATAATAATAATGTTTTGAAATAATAAACTTTTTACAATTTTTTGATTCCCATTAAATGATGGTATCATTTCGGTTAATTATGGCTTAACTTTTGGGTTACCCTTGTCAATTAATTGCAAATAACTTGATGCTTGTCAAATAATTAGCTTACGACTTACTTTAGTTCTCGACTACTGCATCTAGACGAATCTGCGAGCGCACTTAATGCTACCAAATGACTGTAAATAAATAAAGACGACCCTTTTGCAATGCCATAAAGTTCCTTTTATTTACTTGTGATCAATTTGTTTCAGTCGTTTACATTGCAATCTCACTTTGGTTTATTTGCAAAATAACTTAATTAGCTTGTTTAACAGCCTTACATTTGCGATTACCAGTATTTTCAATTAATCTTTTGACAACACTATTGCTAACGCTCACTAGTTAACCAATTTTAGCCCAGACCTTTGCTTGCTCACTAAAGTAAATTACGTTACCAATCGTTGTTAACACTCACTAGTTAACTAATGTTAGCCCTAACCTTGCTTGCTTGATTACTAAAGCAAATAAATGCGGCTTTTTACTAAGTCACTAACTACACTTGTTGATTTTATCAAGGCGCGCTAAACAAAGAAAATAAAGAAATGGGTTTGTTTATTAGCGATTAATTTTATTTAATAAAAATAATGATTCTATCTATAGTTTTATTTTCCTCAATGAAATTTTCGTTGATCACTACTTCCATAATTATTTACACACATAGCCCATTTGTTTTTTCTCATGGCGCTTCCGGTATTCCAAAACATTCAGAGAAGTTAGTTTCAACTATACCTAATGCACCATACTTTAGTATTGGTTGTGGTGAAGATAGCTTCTTCAGAAGATATGATTCTTTAGGTGTTGCTGATGGTGTTGGAGGTTGGAAAAATATCAAAGCATTACCTCATACTGGTTGGTGTTTCATTCATTCATTTTATCCTTTTTGAGTCATAAACTTTTTTTAATTTCCTGTTTTTTGAATCATTTACAGTTGTAGATTCATCATTATATTCTAGAAAATTGATGCATTATT